CTTCTGTTGTAAACACCGTTAACGCGAATAGAGGGACAAACTACAAACAAGCAACACTTGTCAGCAGGTCAGGACAAACAAGTAACCTACCTCGCAGAGCAACGAAAAGGGATCCAACGATAGTGCCCTGGCTGTTGTATGCTCAAATGTCCCTGGATCTACCGCCATCACATTGCGGAATAAGTTATCAGACGACCAAGACCAGTGGAACTCAATGTGCGTGCAGATGCGTGTCAAAGCCAAGCCCATAAACTTACTACGAATCACTCGTCATCCGAACTCGCCACCCTATAAAGAACCCACAATTATTCGAGTAACACTAGAACCATCAACCACCGACGTAGAAAACTTTTTGCTTTCCGCAAGCGCGCTGAAACACGGATCCTGTGGGATACGGTTTATCCTGATGTCCGTTGGAACGCAACCATCAAAAAGCAACACCGAAGAGGGGCACAGCAAGCATGACCGCCTAAACGTAGTCTTCATACATGGCTTGCCAGAATATCCTTCTAAAGATGTTCATGAGACTAGATAGTATGATTTAGAAAGTGGCAGTCCATTCCAACAAAGCTTTCTCCGGATAATATTGTAGCGCTCTCGATCACCAGGATACCTCTCTCACCAAATTATGGATGATGCCGCCCTAGAATCCTGAAAGTCGTGGTTCGGTCAGAGTAACAAACAACGGATGTTTTGGATCGACGGCGGAGAATCCGGAAACGTCTTCCTTCTGAACTACGATTATAGGTCGCAGAAGTTTTGCACATCTCAAATATTTTAGAACCCGTAGCAGCAAGCATACCGACGAATGTACAGAAGCATAACTTGACTGTTGCTTTAACTGACTCTGACGTAGGTCTAAACGAAGGCTGGAACGCACTTTGGCCGAACCAAGTAGCAAAGGAGGTATCATTATCCCATCAAAAAGAGGACTAACTGTAGACCGCCCATCGGTCGGCATTCTTCATCACTTGACACCTTCACCCCTCCGTGGGCTCCTGCAGATCGAGAAACTGGCCTGCTTCTATACGAATGCTCAGAGTCTTTTTACTAAACGGGCCAAACTGAAAGATCGTCATACTTTCGGGTCAAATGATGTCATTGGTATCACCGAGACGTGGTTGCACACGAGAATGACGGACTCTGAATTTTCTCTACCGGGCATGTCGATGATCCGGGATGAGGGGCTCATAAAAGGAAGAGGGTTAATCCTGTATTACCGAAGCGACTTACAGTGCAAAACATCGGAGGATTCAAACTCGCAGTTTCCCGACTATCTTTGGTGCCGCTTGCAGTTAAAAGGCAGGGATTCTTGCCTTAGTGTCTGGGTGTACTGCCCCCTAACTCTACACTCGAAAATGACCACCACATAGCGGCTGCTTTAAGATGCAGTTTACAACAAAAGTACACTCACATACTTATCGTGGGTGATTTCAACGTAGGTTGTGTGGAAACTCCTGCCACGATCGGAGAACAATTCAAACAATTCAAAGCTGAGCCATAAGATCTTGTAAATGATATTCATCTTTACAAGTACATCACTTTGCCCACTCGGTTCAGAACTGGTAACACGCCATCTGTGCTGGATCTTGTGCTTAACAACGAGGATCATATAATTGATGTGTTGATTTTAGACTGCCCGTTGTGTCAGAGTGATCACCCAGTGATAAGATTCAACTTCGTCTGCTATGCAGAATACCGGAATGAGAACGATCAAACTATGTGAACCATCACAAGTCTAGCTCATCAGCTCATCAGCGCCACAACTTAGTCGTTCCGTGACGAAGAATCCCGGAAGTCGCCTGAATCGAGTTCGCCAACAAATTCAATCCGCTGATTGTAGAGGCTTCAGAGGTAAAAATTTGCTGTAAGTGTAACTCAGTTTCTTACGTTAGGAGCAGATCTCGAAAATGGATGACGGTATGCAATGCAGCATGGCGAGTGTAAAGTGAAGCTCCAACACAAGAAACTTTGGACAACTACCTAGCCCAAGATCACCACTGCACTCAACTGTTAAGAGAAGACAAAGCCGCCTATCAGCAGAACATCGCAACAACCTTCAGTGCTAACCACAAACTGCTGTACAAGCACGTTAATAGCCTACGAAAGTTGAGGCAAGGATTTGATACATTCAGGACGGTTGATGGCGCAACAAGAACAAATGTGAAAGCAGCAAACGCGCTGCAGATGCAATACGCCCCTACGTATTAAAGGCTCTTGCCACCAAGCGATCTACCAAGCTTTTCTTCTCCTTGCCAGGGCCAACCCACATCACTTTTACCGCGGAGGCTGTATTGCAAAATCCGACGTTTCTATGTAAACACAGCTCGCTGGGTGTCGACATTATTCGTCCAGAGGCATTGGAGCAGCAGCATGCCAACTGGCAGGACCTTCGGCTCAGTTTTTTCACCTCTGCTTGACCAGAAGCAAGTTTCTGCCATGTGGAAGCTTGGAATAATAACCCCGATTCACAAAAGTGGAAGCAGAACTGATCCCTCCAACTAGCGCCCTGTATCCCTTCTTCCTGTACTCTCCAAGGTCATGGAATCCATCGTTGCCGATGCACTAATGTGCTATCTGGAAAACTGCAAAATCAGCACTCCTGAGCAGCACGATTTCCGTCGACAGCGCTCATGTACAACGAAGTTACTAATTGCACGCAGTAGTTGGACCGAGGCAGCTGACGCTGGAGAAAGACTTGATCTGATCTACCTGGATTGTTCCAAGGCTTTCGATCGTCTAGACCAGCGGATACTACTCTCCAAGCTCTAGCATTACGGGATCGACGACCCATTTTTAAGCTAGATTCCCAACTTTCTGCTTCAACGGCCATTAGTGGTGAGAGTTTGGAACTCTTCATCGGACACCATACTGGTCGAGTATGGTGTGCCGTAAGGCTCAGTTCTAGGTCCACGTTTCTTTCTGGTGTTTATTGATGACCTCGCACAGGGAATCGCTTCAAACTTCCTAATCTTTGCAGACGACATCAAGATCTGCTGCAGGATCTAGGCGAACGCCGGCCAACATGTGCTTCAGAGTGACCTCGATACGGTGTATCAATGGTCAAGCCAAAAGTTAGTGCGTTTCAACATCAGTAAAAGCACGGTGCTTTCCAACAGACATCAGACCAACTACTTATACCGCCTCGGAACGGATATACTGCGTGGATCAAGTCTCGAACGTGACTTGGGTGTCCTTGTTCAAGATGACTTTGATTGCTCCAGGCAATCCGAAAAGACCTCAAAGACTGGGAGCCAACACGTCGGGCTGTTGCGACGGGCGTTTGGACAAATAAACAGCTCCATATTTCGACAAATGCTCATCGCGTATGTTCGCCCGCATGTCGAATACGCCATTCAAGCCTGGCATCCATGGCTGAAACAAGACGCTAATGCGCTGGAACAGCTACAATGTCGGGCATCTAAGCACGTACTTGGAATGCGCACACTTACATAACAGGAGAGGTTGCAACGATTGGGGGTATTCAGTGGAATCTATCGCAGAGTACAAGGCGACCTGAATATGGCATACTTGATTCCGCCAGACCCATCATATGTGTCGCCCTTTAGTGCAACTCAGCAGCAATACAAAACTGAGGGGCCACTTAGTAAAACTCGCAGAACAATACAGTCGTCTGGTGTACCGCAGAAATTTCTTTTCCGTTCTTGTCTGTCACCCGTGGAATGCTCTCCCAGAATCGGTCGTCTCTGCACCGAGACTAACATATTTAAATGACGGTTGGACAATACACTCATCCACTTACACTTTCACTTAACACTACGTCTCTATCCTACACCTGGAGTTTACCATGGAATTGTTTGTTGTTAACTGCGGGTGCTGTAAATCTAAGAGGATCGCAGGACTACGGCGAAGCAAACGAGGTCCTTATTTTTATTTAAAGTATTAACTGTTTTACTATCATTATTATCAATATGGTTATATCCCTATCAACTATCCAACTGGACTTGTAACAACGCTTCTTAACCCGTATAAATTAATTGTTGAAGTCTCGACGCGCATCTCCAGGATAAGGACAATTAAAATTTGTGAAAATGTAGGACCGAATACAACCAGAAAATAAAGAATTAAAGTTGAATGTAGTGAGTAGAATTAGTGGAAATGGAATGTTGACAGCTAAACACAAGTAACCGACTGCTCGCCTGTACCCGGTTCTCCAACCGCTGCTGTGGTCAATCCTGAGACCCTCACACCCAAATATAGGCATTTGTCATCCCATTGCGCACATGTGCAAACCTTCGCAATCGATTTTACAGATGCAGCCGATTTGCCCATCTGTACCTGGGCCGAACTACCTGTGTATGTGTGCGTGGACAAAATCGAATATTGAAAAGTAGTATCCAAGTTACTTAAGCTGCATACGTTTTGTGATCCCACTCTTGTTGTGCGCTTCCAGTAGGAAAATTATATCCTTGCGGTGTCAGCTCAATTCCGCTTTACTAAGAACAGCTCATGTTAACAGACGAAGTGGATAGGAGACAGACAGACGGAGTTTACGATGAAAATACTGCACTCGGTACACGTTATTTTTCGTTGGTCTGCACTTGCAAAATCGCAGTTTCCATGCTTTTTTCCTTCGTTTTCTTACCAAACGGCGTCATTTGGTTAACTTATTGATAACCATTGAACCAATGACGTGTTGTACTAATAAGACTGCTGATATATATCGGGTCAGCGGACTGCTCTGTTCACATTATCTACATACCATCACTAACAACTTTGCATCTGAGTAGTTGCTATCAAAAACCACACCCAATGTTTCTGTGACTAATGAACATTACAGTTCACTTTACCTCATAGCGTCGGCATAGAACCGATGTGCTTACATGCATGCACCAAAAATAGGACCGCCGACTACACGGTGGATGGCGTGTTCTTTGTTCTCCTTTCTTCACACGTTCGATCAATCGTGCAACCAACTTTACTGCTTGTCCCTCTCTCTTGTTACCTTTTCCATCTCTTCCCGCATTCACGATGCACAGGTTCCGTTCGTTCCCTTCATACCGTGTTTGTGTGTGTTTCTCAATTTCTGCCTGATCGTCAAACTATCTCCCATGACTTGGATACGATTCACCGTCTGGTTGCTGATTGGTGAGTTGTATTGATGGATTTTCTCCGTCCTTGTGTTAGCCCTATCTCTATTGCTTGCTTCTCATAGCGTGGCCTATCGTGCCCCGGATATACGTTGACATCTAATACAGGTTACACAGGGTGATATGACTGAGGACATAGGTTTATCCTCCGCTTGGGCAGTGCAGTTACTTTAGGCAAAAGCGTAGACATAAAAACAGTATCGAAATATCTCGTTAATGTTTGACGGATGCCCACTTATTACGTCAAGCACGGAAAGAAAAGCAAATGCACAATGCTTCAAGCAAACAGTTGTTTTGGATTAATTCTTCCTCAGACTTACACCTTACTTTACTACAGACTAATTTTGGTTGTGCGCGTTAGGATAACAAAATTCAGATGATGAGACGAATAGAAGTTGGGTGTTGTCCGCCCGAAAACACTGCACTACTCTGACGCTTTTCGATGTCATTACATCTCATCAGATAGAGTTAGCAGGCATCGAACCCGGGACCATCGGGATGTTAGTTGTGACCGCTACCCTTAAGCCACCGGGTCACGACGGCAACGCTTGGCACAACGGTTTAATGAACGATGTTGAGGGTCATTTTGAAGTACACGTTGTGTGGATGGATTGCGACGCACAATCACAATGTCGACCGCGATTGTCACTGAAGTGAACCTTGGTCTTTCGATCACGAGGACCGTAGCTGATGCAAGTAGAAATTTGGGTGTTGCCCGCCGGAAAACACTGCACTACTATGACGCGTTTCGATGTGATGACATCTCATCAGATGGAGTTAGCAGGCATCGAACCAGGAACCATTGGGATGTTAGTTGTGACCGTTACTTCTAAGCCACCGGGTCACGACGAGTAATGCAACTGATGAGATAATTTGAACGTCAAGTAAGAGCAAGCCTACTTGCAACTGCGGGAGCAGTCTGCATACGGCTTGCAAACTCCGACTTGTGTGTTCAGAAGAAAATGGTACAATCACTGCAATTCCAGTGATCAGCGAATTGACATTATGATCACAGATCATATTATCTGGTCCTTTAGTTTTTTATCGTGCTGGCTAGTACAACCTACCTTATCGTACAGTATATTCATGTTTACTCCGGTTACTTTCTACTAACATATATTTCGACAATTAACAGAAACAGTGAACAGATGAAAATATTTTCTGTTGGACGCTCGTGTTCGGTTTCCACTTCGTTGTTCATCGGAGGTAAAATCGAATCCTACGGTCTAAGCAAGCACGTCATAGGCCTAGAGTTAGGCTCTAGAGTTAGGCCTAGAGTTTGAATTTGTAGGCAAGTCATGCTTTGAAGCTCAGTCTAACTATCCAAGATAAGGCATATGAGGAGTGAGACACTGGTCGGTGACAAAGTAGTTCTGGTATTTGGCTTACACAATAACCGGTTCGGTTTTAACCAGGTGATGACCATCTCCCAGTATTTCTGGCCATCACATAATCATGAAACAACAGGTCCATTTCATAGTACCAAACAGAAACCTCGCAAGACCGACTGTAGCTCTAAGCCTACTCTGGTAGCGCAGACATTTGGACATCTATCGATTTCAAATGACATCGCTTTGGTTTGCTCATTAATGTTGCACGTTTGTGGTTGATAAGTATGCACGTAACGACGATGTCACCCAATGAAGCGTCTTTCAACTTTCTTATTTGGCATCACATGACTGTTATTGGTCAGTTTGGGCTGTAGTGTCGGCACAAGACGTAAGTATTCTACTCACATCCCTCTGTGTATGAAACAGTGACCCCATGTCACCTACTATGATAGTTTTACTTGACGATTTCTCACTTCCTTTATCTAACTTAGGAGACTGGTTGTAAGATAGTGGAAGCAGTTCCATTACTATAGACTGGTCGGACGGCTTCCTCGCGCAACCGTTGATGACTCGGGGCGATTCGTGCTTGCTTCACAGCGATATCATTTGAGACGCTTAGAACCACAACCAACCACAAATGAATATTGTCAGGCATGAACCCCGGGGCCAATAGGTACTCGTCTTAAGATGGTTGGAGAAAGAATAGGTTAGAAAGTGTACCGCCATAGGTAACCGGTTATTGGTTGACAGTGCTACCTATTGAGGTCAAACGGGCACAGTAATCCCTGGAACCTCCGAATAGCAGAATACGAACACTAAGTTTATCGGCCCATTGCATATTCTCCGAGCTAGTATAAACAGTTATAAGGTCACATGATAATGCTGTCCTGTCAGACGCATTGGATCCTTCTGATATACACACCATCGCATTAAGTCAAGTATTGGCCCATGACTTGCGCGTTATCCCCCGAGAATGAAATTTGTAACCGCTACTACTATTTGAACATTTGATAGTTTCCCCGCGTACTGTAAGAGCACTATGTACACTGGCCCCAGCAACCTGTTTATCAACACTCCAAACCAAGAAATTGCCGCAGCTCGTTTCCCTATTGATCGGCACGGAGGAGCCTTGTGACTTGAGACCTGCTTACTTGCTTGTTCAGTCCCACCAATTTCTCTAGTGACCTCACGATGTAATTTATTTGCTTCATTTTCCTTTTGGTGACTTATGTTTTCTCATCGCCATCGTTTGGGAGTATTCCCCATTCCACTTCTTCTTCATCGCATGCAATCAAAGGCCCTATGTATGGCTGAAGTACACTCTTACTGCACCAAACCAACCTCAAGGTTGGGGTTCTAAATCCGTCATTAGAATGCGCCAACTTTCCTACGAGCAGAGGCTGAAACGTTTGGGGAGTATTCAGCGGGCAGTTTCACCGAATACGAGGCGACTTTCTTGTGACGCATTTGATTTTACACAATCCAAATCATGTGTGCCGCTCCTTGCTGCAACTCAACAGTAACAACAAACTTAGAGGCCACTCCTTGAAATTAGCAGCACAATACAGCCGCCCGCCGTGCCGTAGAAAATTCTTTTCAATTCGTGTGTGTCAATCATTGAACGCTCTCCCTGAATCTGTTGTTTCAGCACCCATGCTAGCCATATTCAAAAGTCGGTTGGATGACGCACTCCGCCGATTACATTTGGTTATTTGACGCTGCTCTCCATCCTACTTCCAGCAAATACCATGCAGTTACTTTTTTGCCTATTGAAGCTATGGAAACACTTGAAGTGCAGGTTTACTGCACGACATACAACAAGTCCATTCTTCCTACAGTAGAACTGCCAACTGAGTTTTTTTTATTAACGTTTTCCGTTAACCCACCAGACCACCCCACTGGTCTTGTGAACTAGTGCTTATTAACCCGTACAAAATCGTTGTCCATTGTATGGGGCACTGAAAAATGTGAGGATAAGGAATATACTACTGATTCCGGAGCTTTTCAGACGGCTAGCCAGGGAATGGAACTTGTCCAGACGCAGTTGATCATCCAGCCTCTAACTGGGCGTCTGGTTTGATCTATTTGAATGGGCATCAGTTTCGTTTGAACCCCCGCCTTGAAATCAACATTTGCTCGTACCATCCAGAGTGATGGTGACACGCGATCTGTCACCGGAGCTTATCCTCACACATGACCATCATTATCAACAGCTTACACAAACGGCTGAATATCCAGGTGGGCTATTTCTTGAGTGCAGTTGAACTGTGACATTGTATAGCTTAGCATTGCCGCTCTATACCTTCGAACATTGGTATCAGGTTCACCGCATGCTCAACTTAACTGGTAAACTATACAATCTCCAGGTTTACGTGGTACACGGTGAGCCGTCTTATATCACGGTCATTATCCCTGTGGTCAGTTACTCTCAATGGCTAGCTCGAAGCAGGAGTGATGCGTGTTACGATCTCACTGCAGAACCAACTAATGGCAATTCCAATGTATCTTCCGGCACACAACGATGCAACCGTAGTCAATCGCTTTAAGATTTGATGGTTGATAAGTCAACATCCCTCTGAGCGAAATCGTGTTCTGCTCGCCAATTTTCAATCAACATTTCTTTATTGCCTATTCCTGACTGTTTTATTTACACTCCACCTACACTAAGACTATGCTTTCCGGTCTTCAGTGGAGCTTGGTTGAGGAGAAGGAGGACCGAGTAACATTACGGGACAAAAATGTACCCAACGACATGCGCGACCGTTTTACTACGTGCTTGGTATTGCTACCTCTACCAGTTCCCAACACATGTCTAACTCAACCTGTTCAGAGGGTGGCTTATCACTGGCAATCCATCGAGCGTGCCCTCGAGCGAAACACGATCGTTGTTTGATCCAATTTAATGCGGCACCATGGCATGTGTTGGCTCAATCCCCTTTATAAAACGTTGCCGGGCTTCCTGTATTGGCCACATCATTTGTGCTGTAAGACAACTAGACAGGACCTCTGCTACACCGTTTACTGGGTGACTTGTTATATTTACAGAACTTGACTGCACCCAACCATTTACTAAAACGATTCCTCTGCCGCATCCGTGATTTGTCCGCCTAACTCTAACTCGGCAGCGCCAGTCGTGTCTCCAGCTGGGTGAAAATCCCATTTCAGTTGAGAAAAGAGCAGGAAAGGGCATCAGCATTACACCGGCACGCATTACTAACGTTTCGCTGTCGAGCAACCAGCATCGGTTGTCCGGGAGCTAAAGAAACTGCGAGTATTGCCCAGTCCCTACGCAGGCTCGAACCCGCGCCGTCAGCTCGTAAGACAAGCTCGTTACCATTAGGCTACAGAATGGTGAGCAAACTGCTTGTGCTGTACATTTTGTGCGAGCGAAATGTGAGCATGTCGTCGCCCGGCATCAACTCGTTCTGGTGCGAAGGTCCCTTACGTCACGTTTCATAGTCAAGGATGGTCATTCGTGAGGTCAAAATTTGAATGCGATTACTGAGGTACCAGGAAGTCGGCTTCATAGTCCTCGCTACGCTGTAATTTGCTGACATCAACGACGCTGTAAAGTTCGCCACTTGGGTTGTGGCAAATCTGAACCTCACCGTTGAGCGTATGCTGATGAACCTTCTGGATTTGCCGAATATTTTTTGCATTCGGTGTAAGTTTCAAAGTATTCACGTTTGTGCCTAGGATAGGATAAACGTGCAACGTAACTAATGTCAGACAAGCAGCATCCAGTTCATTCGCCAAGTGAGCTCG